TCTGACCGTAAATGATGCTCAGGTCCCTTCACTGGTATCACGACGCCTGCTGAAAGCTGGTTTAGTCTTTTTAACGGAAGCGGTTGCTAGGACGTGACAGCCGCTGAGGCTACCACGCGTGGGTGTATTGCTTCGCGGAGTTGGGAGATTCAAATTTTATTGTGACAGTCGTAGTCGGAAGCGTTCAAGCCCATCGTGAGCCCTCATAACAGCCCTGTCGTTTGATCAGAGATTTGGGTCTTTGTCTTAAAACTCTGTTTCATTTTAATCAAATTCACTTGCAAGTTACCGTCGCTCGTGACTGTCTTTCTGTTAGATGGACAAACTATAATTATTCGTGGTATGCGGTTGTTTATAAATCAGAGGTAAATCCTTATGGCGATACACATTCGGCGTGAGCGTTTAGGTCGCAACTATTGTTTTAGTCCGTAAAACGTCTAAACGTACTGCTTTGGAAGGCTGCTCGTAGACGCAATTCATAGCACCTCGTCAATCTCCTCACCTCCTAATTAAGGAATAATCTGTGACAATATGTAAGTGCAAAAACCAGCGCTGTGCGGGTGGATGTTGTGGAAGTCGGGTCCCGCTTGCAGTGTCGAGCTTGTACTATTTTTTAATGAAAATTTCATGATCCTTTTCCTTTTTATTTTAGAGGAACAAGAGCGTGTCCAGAAGAAGACGTTCACCAACTGGATCAATGCCTACTTAGTGAAGGTAAGTAGCCGTAGCGTCCTTCTGTGGGAGAAGTTATATGACTTTCTGACGGAGATCGAGTTCTGGTTAGTACTCAAGAAGTCAACTTTCCGTAACTTTCTTTTTAAGAATCACCTATACCGAGATCTTTTATCGCTGGGTTAATTAAGGATTGGTGCGTCATTTCGTTTCCCACAAACCCCATGACTAATAATTGCCGCCCCAGTTACCCATTGGATGAGTCGCGTTGCGGAGCAATAGTCCCAAAAATTTTTAAATTTCTCCTTGTTTTACAGGCAGTCCCATCTGACTTCATCCGTGACCTCTTTGTGGAAATCCGCGATGGAGTCAAATTGCTGCGTCTACTCGAGGTGTTGTCTGGCCAGCGCCTGGTAAGTACTCCAAATCTCCGTTCGGATGCACATATAATTATACTACTCGTAATTAGTGAGTAGACGTGTATATTTACACTTTACGATAAACTGACGACTACTCGCCTTACGTCTGTAATAATGCAAGCAAACTCCTTTTTGAATTTTTTTGCTATATTGATGTATTTCTTAGTCACTGCGTTACTACTAAGGAGCGGAAAGGCGTTCCCATATCTTTCCCCTTTTAAAACTGAACTAGACATCGACCTGTGAGCCCGATTTTGATGGGACCTGGCTTCGAATTCCGACTTAATAGTGCTGTAGTATGTGATTTAAAAGTCATTTGACTTTACCTCCACCCCCAATCTAAGCTATCGCGTCCATCTTCGGAACTTATGTGGCACTTGCTCCATATAAATGGATAACGGCTGCTGTGGGACCCTCAAATGATCCCATAATGTTCAAGCTCTCCCGCCGCTTTTTAATAAAATCTTGATTTTGAATTTCCTTCATGACCAGTGAGTCCCTGTTCGTATCATCGTTCAGATTAATGCGACTATTTTCCATTAGGTTTTTACCGAAAAATGATATCAGCAGAAACGAATTGTATTTTCAGCTGCCAATTTAATGCATCAGCATTCTACGGCGTTCAAAAATATAAGGGCAAGGCTGACTTGTATAGCCGCCCAGATAGGACACGAAAATAGGATCGCCTTGCGATAAAATTTAGGAAGGGTAAATATTTCCATGTTTGATGTCCTGAAATGAAACCACTTCCTAAAGTTCATGGTAACTTGGTTGCTGTGAATTTTCATTGGATGCATTTCAGGATTTGGATATCAACCTCGGAAAAGATTATTTCGTCATAAGGTTCCTCATATTCCCTGCTCTGGTTCAAATGACTTTTGGTTATTTACTCCGAAAATAATATTCGAAAATATGCTTAAATTACCTGTTTACTATGCGGCAGAATACGCCATCAATGGAATAGTCTGCCTATACCTATGCCGTTGTCGGTCTTCAAATCTGGTCCTTATTCCAACCTCACGCTCTAAGCATTACGTGTGCTTTCCGGCGCATTTAGCCCTTACGTTAAATGCTGCTCAACTCATTCCAATACTATGTTATAATTACTTTGCGTTTAGTTTCCAAAGCCTATATCACGACATCAAGCATACTGAAGACAAGCAGACTCTAAATAGCTCCCTCGTTTCCTTATAAAACGGATATATCACAGTTCAGAGGCTGAAGAATTTACTAGCGTACTTTTTGTAGTTAGGTCGGTTGTTTCAATGTCTCCCCAGGAATTATATTTATTAACGGTGCGCTTGCAGTCGACTTTTGTGAGCACCCAATGTATAGGAACATTCCATTTATGTGCACCACTTCGTAATCTATTTTTCCCACTAGCGCATCGAGAAGCCTCACATCATGCAACGTGCCCATCATCTTAGCAACGTGAAGACTGCGCTAGATTTCCTAACAGAAGATCGCAAGGTAACTGTACTTTCAAGCAATTTACTTTCAATAAGTCTTCCACTGGATCAAACCTAGTCTTTATTAAATTTACTTTGTGTCTTTTGCAGTTAAAACTAGTGAACATTAATCCAGCAGACGTGGTCGATGGAAAACCAGCGATTGTCCTTGGACTTATCTGGTCAATTATCCTGTCTTTCCAGGTATTTTGGACTTTTCTGGCCTCTAAGACACCAAATCCTTCTTTTTTTCCATACGTCTGTCTCATCTGGAATTGCACTTTTTTCGCCCAGATTGACGAGCATAACGGCGCGTTGCAGGGCCTGCCCATAGCAGATACTTCCGATGACTCAGCAAAGGATAAAAGTGGATCAACATCTTCGCCTGCGTCCGAGCAGAAAAATACTGCGCCGCAAACTACGAGTCATAAGGCCCTGCTTATGTGGATCAGGCGTTGCATTGATTCTGATGACAGGTATTAATGACATAAGCTAATGCTAATAACTATTACAAAGTAGTATGTTTTGTTTAACTAACAATTACGTTTGCTGCCTGCAGGCCGCTTCCTGTGCAGGTTAACGACTTTGGGCCCAGTTGGCGGGATGGAAAGGCTTTCTGTGCACTTGTTCACAGCATCGACCCGAAGAGTCTTGATCCCTCCTCCGTGCAAGACGGGGCCAACAAACAGAATCTTGAAGTCGCCTTCACGGCGGCTGAAGAAAAATTGGGCATTCCCCGTCTGCTTGACGTCGAAGGTAAGTTAATTCGGCCTTGTTTTAGCTGGTACCTCTCTCCAAGTTACTATTCTAACCCACATACTGTTACGATGGGTCTATTTTACCATTAATCCCTTTTTGATTTTGATAGATGTCGATGTTGATAAGCCG